GCCTAGACTTCCTCTGCTGAGGCCACTGTTAGTTAATGAGTCCCTGAATTGCTGCCCTGTGCTCTTGGACTTTGCTGTACCAATTTTGTGGTCTGCTACTCACTGGGCCCAGATTGTTGCTCTTTGACTGTGGACTAAGCTCTGCTGTACTAGAGTGCCACTCTGTTCCAAGGACTTAGCCCCTGCTGTGCTGGATCCCTGTCTATTCCTGCTAGTTCCTTGTATGGATTAACCCTTTACCTGCCAGTACTCTGATATCTCTGCTGTGTGCCCAGCCTGTTACAAACTTAACCCTTTGTCTGCCGGAGTTCTGACATCCCTGCTGTGTGCCCAGCCTGTGTTACGGACTTAACCCTTTGTCTGCTGGGAGTCCTGCCATCCCTGTAGTATGTTCAGCCCTGTGTTACGAATTTAACCCTTTGCCAGCCAGAACTCTGCTATCCCTGCTGTGTGAAAGCCCCATGTTGCGGACTTAGCCCTTGGCCTCCCAGAACTCTGCTATCCCCTTGTCTTTCAATTAAAGCCTAAGCCTCCATGCACACTGGGTGTTTTAATAATGCTGGTAACGTAGCTGTGTAAAAATATTAACATGAGTTTTTCAGCGTTTTTGCATTAGCGTTTAGCCACCTTTTTTCGCATTTGCATTTTTTTTTAGCTTTTTTTTACCAAAAAAAACTTTTTTTTTTGCTCAACAAAAGTCCAAAACGCTGGTTTGCCATGATTTACCGTGTTTTGCCACATTTTTCAGTGTTTAGAGAGCATTTTTACAGCTAAAAAAAAAACTCCTCTAGAAACCCACTAGTTCTGGGGGGGGGGTTTTTCCAGCCAAAAAAACCCCTGCCAAAAATGCTGATTACACTCTATGTGTGCATGGACACTATAAAAACATGCTGGGGAGTTTACTGGCTGTAGAGAAAAACGTCAAAAGCAAAAAAAAAAAAAAAAAACAGCAAAAAAAAAGCAGCTCTGCCTAGTGTAAAAATATCCAAAAGTGCATGAGGACTTATGTGTACTTCTGCTCTCCGTGTGTTCTGTTCTACCCCACACCTCCATCACAATGAGAATGTCTAAATACCAATCATTTTGGCTATGACTGTATTAAAAATTGGAGGAGATTGAGTCCCAATCATAAAAATATATTTATAGCAAGCTAATAGTGTCTACATGTGTTTCTGTCTGCAACTCCATTGCAGTAAAGAGAGTTAGCATGCCCAATTTCCTTGTACCAAATACAAATACTTAATACAGACCTTGTTCAAGGACAATAACCATTGAGGGTAAAACAGAAATGAAACACAGGAAGGTGCTGTAAATCCCAACACATTTTGCTATCTAGGCATCTGCAGTTGTTCAAGGGGTGCAAATCAGTAGCAAAAATGTACCTCCAAAAAGAACAGAAGGGGGAAGAGAAAGGAAAACAATAAGAACACTGGTGTTGCAAACAGAGATGTACCTCCCACAGAGAATGGTCACAGATAGGGTGGTGAGAGGGCAGACCAGAAACAGGGCACCCAGCAACCTCACCAGTGCACATGGAGGCAACACACAGGGAGTATACAACCATCCACAGCACCACACAGTTGATCCTCCAAAATTAAACAAATATTCAACAATCAATATTGACTGGCGTGAAAACTTGTTGAGCTGCCTGTGTGTTTGTCAGATGAAGATTGACTGGTCCCTGTGTGGAGCCATATTTCCTGATCATCTCTCTTAGGATTCTTTGTTTAATTTTTGTAGTTTAAGTATTGTCCATAAAGGATCTATGCAAAGGGTTTTGCTTTTAAAAGAAACACAAGTGTATTTTTCAGATGAAATAAATGTATGGCTGGAAGGATGAAAGCAAAGTAAGAAGGAAAGAAAATCACCACCAGATAAAGCGTTATATGACTCCTTGCGCAAGCAAGGATCCATCAAATCTGGTGACTGTGGTTTGGATAGGGAGGGTCACTGAAGAGTAGATTAAAAAGCACCTGCCATGATCTTTTCAAATAGGACTAGTCACTCTTATGCTGATTTGAGCACTTTAAACTACTTGCCCTCCTGAGGATTTTACCCCCCTTCCTGTCCAGGCCTCTTCTTGCCACTCGGCACTGCACTAATTCAACTGATAATTGCGCGGTCATGCAATGCTGTACCCAAACAAAATTTACGTCCTTTTTTTCACACAAATAGAGCTTTCTTTTGGTGGTGAATTTGATCACCTGTGCGCTTTTATTTTTCACCGCTATAAACAGTAAAAAAAGACTGAAAATGTTTAAGAAAAAACAATATTTTTTTACTTTTCAGCTATAAAAAATATATAGTACGGATCTTAAACTCAAAGTTAGCTATAAATTTAGGCCAAAATGTATTCTGCTACATGTTTTTGGTAAAAAAAATCCCAATAAGTGTATATTGATTGCTTTGTGTGAAAGTTATAGCGTCTACAAACTATGGTATAGATACTGCAATTTACCCCATTTTTTTGCTATACAGCGCTGCGCTAGTTTAACGGACAATTGTGCGCTCATGCAATATCGTACATAAATGAAATTTACATCCTTTTTTTCCATGAATTGAGCTTTCTTTTAGTGGTATTTGATTGCCTGCGCATTTTTTATTTTTTGCGCTATAAAAAAAAAAGGCTGACAATTTTGAGGAAAAAAACAATATTTTGGACTTTTTGCTATAAAACATGTCCAGTAAAAAAAGTTTAAAAATCTAGAAAAATTTAGTCATAAATTTCTGCCAAAATGTATCCTGCGACATATCTTTGCTTAAAAAAAAAAACTCAATACGTGTAAATTAATTGGTTTTACGTGTAAGTTTATAGCGTCTACAAATGGCGGGAAAGATACTGGGATTTTTTTTTTTATTATACTAATAATGGCGGCGATCAGCAACTTATGGTGGTGATCAGCGATTTTATGACAGTGATCAGCGACTTATGGCGGGACTGTGGGACTGCGTCGGACATTTTGACACTGGGGGGGAACTGACTTGGGGTCACTGACATCCCCAGTGACTCCAATACAGTGATCAGTGCAAAAAAAAAAAACACTGACACTACTAATGGCACTGGGGAGGAAGGGGTTAACTTTAAATGAAAGGGTTAAACTGTGTGAGGGGAGTGTTTTACTAGTGGGTGGGGGGTGTGTACTTCACAGGAACACGCTGATCCCGAGAGATAAAGTCTTCTCTCAGGTTCAGCGTGCTCTGAACTGACAGATAGCAGACCTGCAATGTAAACACTGCAGCCGTGCTGTCAGTGATTACCGGTAATCGCCGGCACCCGGCATTGGCTAATGACTCGCCAGGATCCGGTGATGGACTCCCGCTGGTCGTATCTGCGGGACGGGTAGGGCGGGCACGTGCCCCCTACCTGTTTTGCAGAGTGCTGTTAAAAGACGGCGCAGTGTGCGCACAGGTGCGCCCTGCCGCAGTAAAAACACTGCAGCGGGTCGGCAAGCGGTTAAAGAAAATATACACACAGTATTATGGATTACGTTTTTATTATTGGATTTTTTTTATTATTGTATATTCATCTTGGATGATCTGTTAATCACTGTATATGTTATACTGTTTCTAACATTTTATTTTGAGTCTTAATGAGCGCATTTGAACAGCCACTTCAGGTTAATTTAATGGTTTGAAATGTATGTTATATGTAGCCATAGCATGGTTCATATTTTATTTTATTTTTTTGGTTACAGCTTTTTGGGAGACAGTTTGTACCTATTTGGCAGGTCAAAAAACTGTCCTGGTCACTATTGTTATTTTGACAAGCCCCTTTCCATTAAACTGCATGTCAGGCCAGAAACTTTCTAATTTTGAATAGAATAGGGAAGGATTAGAACTCCTCTCAGGTTTTTTTTTCTGCTATCGGGGGCTCAATTGGACACGTTCAATTGGACATACTCCTCCTGAGTATGGAGGCTTTTTCACAGCCTAGCCACATAGAGTCCCAAGGAGCACCTTCAGAGCATAAATTTACACAGTAAACATTTCCTGACTACCTATCACATTTTTGAAAGCCCTGGAACACGAGGACAATGGAAACATCCACAAAATGAACCCCATTGTGGAAAGCAAATTTCCCAATGTATTTTCTATGAGGCATAATCAATCTTTTGAACCTGTCATTTTTTTCAAAACGTTTTTAGAAAACGTGGAAAGAAAATTCATTGTTTTATTTTTTTTTAACATAAAGCTTTCAATCTATAAGATATTTCTAACAAACAGCATGGACATACATAGAATTACACCCCAAAATACATTCTGCTACTGCCGATTATGAGGATACCTTAATCAATATCTGAACAGATTATGTAACCAACATTGCAGCTTGTGTAACACAAAAATCAACCAATCAAAAACAATGTACTGTAATGGTCACCTCTGTAAGAGTGGTCAGTGAATATAGCATAATGTAGCTTCACCTACAGCTGTTCCTAAAAGCCAAGCAAGCTTAACCTACTGGTACCTGTCTGCCTCCATAGCACAATGCTATTTTCACTGGCCAGGAATTATACGGGGCAGAACAAAGGGTAAATAAAATATTACCTGTGGTTTTTAGTAGAGCATTTGTCCATAGAGACATGTTCAGCAACAGTCAAGGCAATTGTCCAGGCAGCAGGCAGTAATATGGTCCATAAATATGCCAGGATCAGTATAGGCAGCAGACTTACAAATAAATATAAATTTAAAAAAACAGCAGTGATCAAATACCAGAAAAAAGTAAGCTCTATTTTGTGTGAAAACAATTGATATAAATTTCATTTGTATACAATGTTGTAAGACCGTGCAATTGTCAGGTAAAGTAGCGCGCAGTGCTGCATAGCAAAAAAATGGCCTGGTCATGAAGGGTGGTAAATCTTCTGGAGGGCAAGTGGTTTAAGCTAGTTTTTTATAGACTTTATGTATTTTTTATTTGCTAAATGGATTTTATAAGTGCAAAGGACTGAATATTAAACTATAGTTTTAGTAATATAACAGTATTGATATAAAAAAACATATACTGTCACAAAAAAATTATAAAAATTTCATATGGGTACAGTGTTGCATGACCGCACAATTGTCATTCAAAGTGTGACAGCACTGAAAGCTGGAAATTGGCCTGGGCAGGAAGGGGGTATAAGTGCCCTGTAGGCAAGTGGCTAAAGTGATTCTAAAGGCAGAATTTTGTTTTGTACCTTGCTATAGGGGAACTCCATACTATACTTTGGGGTTTGCTATAGGGTCACTCTGAAGGCTGAAGGAGCCAGAAGCACCAGCTGGGGACCCCAGAAGAGGAGAATCGGGGCTGCTCTGTGCAAAATCATTACACAGAGCAGGCAAGTATGACAAGTTGGTTGTTTATGAAAAAAATAAAAAAATCAAAGTTTATAATCACTTTAACGGCTCTGTGCATGGAAGATCAGCATCTGAACCTATAGAAACTGGAGGCTGATTGACTGGAGGTAATAAAAGGCATTACAATTAAATTTAAAGTAAAAGTTTACCAGTATTGTGCATTATATTTAAAATGTATTATATCCATATAAAAAGTCTCAGCCTTTAGTACTACTTCATTATAAAAGATTTATATCCCCCCTCCATCCTTCACATAGCTTCATCTCTGACTCCCATTTAAAATACCCTGAATATCCTACCAGGGGGGTATATTTTCAACCTGACAGGTGATTGAAAAAAAGCATTCTGCTGTTACTAAATGTCTTAAGCCCTGTACACAGGGGCCAAATATCAGCTGAAGTCAGCTGGCACAGTAGAAACTGGACGAATTTTAGCCTGTATGTGCAGCTAGCTGTTTGACAGAAGCCGATCTCACAGCCTGCTTCTGTCGAACGAGCATGCTGGAAAACCATCAAGCGCTGACCGGTGTGTTCTGGCAGGGGGTGGTCCCCCTTGTCAGAACACAATAGCATAGTGGGGAGATCGCTGTACTAACTTCATTTGTTTAAAACTGGGTACACACTATAAAAAAATTGGATGAAAAATTCCATACAAGAAACGATCAATGTTCATATAGTGTGTACACAACTTTTTGATATCAAATATTTCTGAAGGGACAAACTCCAAAATTTTTCTCATTTGCAAACAGAACTACCGATTTTTTTTTTTTAATGTGTACTGTTTTTGTACAAGAAAAATCGGATACAAAAGACTGCGCATGGTCAGAAATAAACAACAATAATCCACACTACAAACATTTCTACATCAACCACAAAACAGCCTTTGTTGATCAAAAATTTTCATACAATTAGTACCATCCTTAAGTTCAACTTGGTGTGAAACATTGCCGAAAATCAGTTCGCCCGATTTTCTTATAGTGTGTACCCAGCTTTAGTACAGCGATCTGCCCACTGGGTTAAAGGAAAAAAAAACTTAGTGTGTACCAGGCTTTAAGTGACAGCAGGCAAAGGTAGCTTGTATCAAGCTACCCACCTATGACCAGGGAGTTTGTTATGCATATTATTATTATTATTATATTATTATTATTACAGGATTTATATAGCGCCAACAGTTTGCTCAGCACTTTACAATATAACGGGAGACAATACAGCAACAATACAGTTCAATACAAGAGGGATAGGAGGGCCCTGCTCCTTGGAGCTTACAATCTTATTATATTATATTAGTCTTTAACTGGTTGCCGACCAGCCACAGTACATATACTGCAGCAGGGTGGCACCGCTGCGCAAAATCACGTATATATACATGATTTTGCATACCAGGTAGGGGGCACACGTGAGGTGCGCACCCGCCCTACCCGCGCCGCCGATCGCAACTGCGGATGTCAATCACCAGGTCCTGGCCGGTGATTACCCGCCGGGTCCTGGCGATTACCGGCAATACCTGACAGAGAGGACGGCTGCAGGGTTTACACTGCAGCTCTGCTTCCTGTCAGTTCCCAACACACTGTTCCTGAGAGCGGAGTTTAGCTCTCAGGATCAGTGTGTTCCTGTGACGTACACACTCCCCTCACACAGTTAACCCTTTGATTGCCTAAAAAAAAAATGTTAACCCCTTCCTCCCCCAGTACCATTAGTACAGTGTTAGTGTATTTTTGTTTTGCACTGATCACTGTATTGGTGTCACTGGGGATGTCAGTGACCCCAAGTCAGTTCCCCCCCCAGTGTCTGAATGTCCGTCGCAGTCCTGCAGTCCCGCAGTCCCCCCATAGATCGCTGATCACTGCCATAAGTCGCTGATCGCCGCCCTTATTAGTATAAAAAAAAAATCCCAGTATCTTTCCCACCATTTGTAGACGCTATAACTTTCACGTAAACCAATTAATTTACACATATTGGGATTTTTTTTTTTTTAGCAAAAAACATGTGCCAGAATACATTTTGGCTTAACATTATGACAAAATTTAATTTTTACATTTTTTTACTGGACATGTTTAACAGCAAAAAGTCCAAAATATTCTTTTTTTCCTCAAAATTGTCAGCCTTTTTTTTTATAGTGCAAAAAATAAAAACCGCACAGGCGATCAAATACCACCGAAAGAAAGCTTATTTCGTGGGAAAAAAAGGACTCAAATTTATTTTGGGTGCAGTGTTGCATAACAGCGCAATTGTCAGTTAAAGAAACGCAGCGATGTAACACAAACTGCTTCTGTAACCGCTTCCTGACCGCTTCCTGACCGCCCATATAGCAGAAATACTGCGGCACAGTGGCTTAGTGGTTAGCACATCTGCCTTGTAGTAAATGGGTCATGGGTTCGATTCCTGACCATGGCGCCTCCTGCATGGAGTGTGATGTTCTCCCTGTGCTTGTGTGGGTTTCCTCCGGGTGCTCCGGTTTCCTCCCACACTCCAAAGACATGCTGGTAGGTTAATTGGCTCCTGTCTAAATTGTCCTAGTTTCATCCCTTACGATGCGGGATCTCATGCATGGTTTGAGTTAGGGAAAGACCTGGCAACTTACCCTGTAAAAATAATAATTGCTAAGAGAATTCATGGAAAAAGTCACGAGTGATGGTCCATGCAATCGCCAAGGATCGGACACGACTGAATAGATAGATAGATATACATGATTCATGCTCCCGTGGCTTTCACGCCCCTATTAGATAGCGTCAGATTGCCCGTCAGTACACCAGTCATCACATTTAACCCCTTGATTGCCAGGAACACGCTCATATACAATAAACCTTCATTGCTAGTATAGTATCTGAACGGATCAATATCTTTGATCAGATCAGCACTACACCAGCATTCACATTAGTATAGTGTCCCCAAAAACACAGCGTTAGCGGGATCAGCCTGGCACTTGCGTTTAGCCCCTATGCTTACGACCCCCCCTTCTCCCCCAGCAAGTGCAGTGTCAGTAGGTCACTGTCACTTGATACATTGCAAAACACAAAACCGCAGTGTTGGCAGAATCAGGCCTGATCTCTGTTAGCACTTGTCAGTAAATTTTGATGACTCTCATATGCAGCAGAGTGCCAGTACTAGTGCCACACTACCTTTTGGTGAACTGGCGAGTACTAGTGGCCTAGTACATCCTGGTCTTTTACATATCTCTTAGATTGGATTGTAAGCTCCCAGGATCAGGCCCCTCCTAACCCTCTTGTATTGAACTGTATTGTTGCTGTATTGTCTCCCGTTATATTGTACAGCGCTGAGCAAATTGTTGGCGCTATATAAATCTGTGTAATAATAATACCAGCACTGCAGTATCACTTGGTGACTTTTGGGAGTCCCCTAAGTCCAGTACAAGCTGGTGCAGTGGCGAGCACAAGTATTGTCCCGCAGCCACCAAGAATTTGCACACAGGTCCGTAGAGCCCCTAGTATCCTTCCGGATGTGCTTGCAAATCCAGATTGACAGCCCACTAATTCTTCAGCACCTATACTTCCCCCATTCACTGCCCAACCCGGAATTCAGGTGGAAATAGCAAATATAACTACTCCCCCTGATTTTTGGAGCTGATTTTCATGGACGATCTGTATGCATTGATTGTGGATCAAAGCAATTTATATGCACAACAATTTAACGCCGCCAACCCAAATTCAAACCTTGCCAGACCAGTCGCATGTAAACTCATTACGGTTTCTGAATTTAAATTTTTTTGGGGCCTAACCCTCAGCATGGGCTTTACTAAAAAAAATGAATTGCGGTTGTATTGGTCCACAGACCCGATTCATCATATGCCCGTGTTCTCTGCTGCCATGTCCATGCATAGATATGAGAGCATAATGTGTTTTATGCATTTCAATGACAATACACTCGTGGTGACCCTCAATTTGACAGACTCCACAAAATTCAGCCCCTCGCAAATCACCTTAAGCAAAAATTTGCAGATGTCTATACTCCCCAGCAAAAAATCTGCATTGATGAGTCCTCATTAATTTTTCTGGCCACCTTGCATTCAATCAATTTCTCCCCAGCAAGCGTGCCAGATATGGGGTCAAGATGTAGAAGACCTGTGAGAGGACAACAGGCTATACTTATAAGTTTTGTTTTTTACATGGGAAAAGATAGTCACGTGGAGCCCACCGGATGCCCAGACTACATGGGGAGCAGTGGCAAGATAGTTTGGGACTTGGTTTCATCGTTTTTCCATATGGGGTACCACTTATACATGGACAAGTTTTATTCAAGCGTGCCACTATATAGACATTTGTTCAATCTTGGAACTGGCGCATGTGGCAAAGTGTGACCTACTGTGTGCCCACCATTAGAAGTGGGTGGATGCAGGGCGGTATATTCTAATGGTGGGCATACCCACACTTTTTCTGGCAGAGAATACTTCTCTTTTTTTCATTCAGCCCACAGACAGCATACAAAAAAAAAAGAACAGCATATATACCCAACAAGGACCAGCGACGTACTGGTACATTACTGGACTTTGAATGGTTATACCAGGATGATGCCTACAGCTGCAGGTCCTGGTATCATCATCCTGGAATCATTTTTTTACAACGGCGATCGGCTTTCATGTAAAAGCAATCCTAGTGGCTAATTAGCTGCAGGATTGCTTTTACAAGCAGCGGGAGCTGATTGGAGACCAGAATGGTGCCAATCATCTCTATAGTCTAAGAATTCAGAAAGTTATGAGCATTTCATCACTTCAGTTTAGCAGGATATAAACAGCGCCATTTGTAAGTGCGTTTAATTAACAATTCCAAAAAAACGGTGTTGCACTATGGTATATTT